CCCCCCCCCCGAGAGGCTCCCTCCACATCCGCCGCTACCGCCTGTTTGTGCCAAGCTGCACCCGAGGTCTGGCAGTTAGCGCAGGCCAGGCCCCTTCCAGGGAGGGGTCCCCCACCCAAGGACCCATTTACATCCTCCCCTGCTGGGGACACCATCCTGCTCTGCCCTCCACTTCTGCTCCCTCCAGTCCTTCCATCAGACACAAGTGTGGTGAGGAGGGAGAGTGTGCCCCAGGGCGCTCAGATACAAGGCGCTGCCACCACACAGGTGCAAGTGACCTTGGGTCCTGGCTGTGGCCCACACAGTGGATTCCTGTTTGTCACCATATTTGGGGGAAAACGGAGTGCCCAGTGCTGGTTGAAGAACGCTACTTCATCATTAAGAGACCCGCTACCTTTTTCTGTGTGTTCTATGATCTGACGGATGGCTTTCTTTAGGCTGTTGGCTCTGAGCATGAGCTGCTCCCGTGGACGGAATATCTGCGGCCGGCCGGGACACGCCGACCCCAGCGAGCGCTCCCCCGTGGAGCCGCAGCCGCTGCCCGTCCCGTCTCCATCTTCCGCCTCCTCCGCGATGGTGGGGGGTGGGGTGGGCAGGGAGGATGAGGCCTGGGACTCATCATCCAGGGTCTTGAGGAGAGAGTCCAGCTTCTCTTTCAGGACAGAGCACTGGCGGAAAACAAACGGAATGGGGCAGAGTGCTTCTCCGTCCTACGCCCTCCCGCCCAGGGGCCCAGGGACGGACCTTCTTGGCCATGACCTCTGACTCCTCCGAGCTCTCGGTGGTCTTCTCGTAGGCCTTCCCCACCCGAGCCACAAAGTCCTTCACCGTCTCGCAGAGCACTCTGTGGGAGGAAACGTGGAAAGACACTTCCAGAGAAAGTTCTGCCTGGGAACCGGGCCCCCTGCAAGGTCGACCCCTGGCTCCCCCGAAGCCGCCAGGCACTCACTTGGCCGATGAGATCACCACCGAGTGCTGGTCGGAGGTCAGGATTTTAGAAAGATGGGCCGCGACTGAATCTTCATAGAAGAGAATTTGTTGCACCTACAGTTATCCCAAGACAGGGTGGGGTGACTGGAAGCTCCCAGTGAACTCCTCACCCACTTCCCCTGCTAGCCTGGGACCTCCACTCACTTCACACACCAATCTCAGATTTGCCAGTGCTGGCAGAAAGATTTCAAAAGCTTCATCAAGCTGTGGACAGACGGATCTTAACAAAAAAGACCACGTGGATCCAATCTTGCAGAGAGCTCGCACTACTTTAGTCTGACTGCACACCCCACCCTGTGCTAGGAGGTGCAGTCTTTAATCCTGGTACCTTACGGCAGCAAGGCCGACAGGCAGGTCTTCTCACAGCAGACAACACATTTCTCTTTCTGGTTGGGACCTGGCCCTGGCCCCTCTCCTCTCGGTGTAAATGACCCCCTCACCACTCACCTCCACCTGCTGATAACGGGATTACCATGTGACAATCCCTCTAGGACCGAGCCCAGGGCCAGCCAGACTGGAAATATTTCAGGCTTTACACTCTGTATTCTTCCTCTCTCAAAACGTACAAACCATTCTTTGCTCGTAAGCCAGGTCAGAGCAGGCCCGGGCAGATTGGAGCTGGGGGGTCATCGTTTGCTGACCACTGCCCTAGCCCATTGTCCTTGACCCTCCTGGCGGAGAGACAGCCCTTGGCAGAGCATTCTCTCTGCTCAACCAGCAGCCAGCTTGCCCAGTGGGGATGAGCACGGCTATGTGCCTGGCACTGCACTAGTCTGGGCAAAGTCTAGGCCCTGAGGGGACAATTAAGTCACAGAAGCAACCGTAAAAGGAAGAGAAGAGCTGAATTCTGAACTAGGATAGGCTAACCACAAGGGCGGCAGGATGGAGGGGGTTCTAGAAAGGGTGGGATCAGAGAGGGAGCCCAGGGCCCGGAGGGGACAGTGGCAGCAGGGGCGCAGTGTATGCTGTGAGAGCAGGAAGTCCTGGGAGACTGTCGTCACAAGGAACCCCCCCCCCAATCCTGAGGTAACCCCAGGAAACCCCCAGATGACCCCAAAGCCCACAAGGTAGTCAGAATTCGCTCAGCTCCAGCACGACCCCGGGGATGAGCCTGCACCTCTGCGGGGCCGACCTCGGGCAGGACATTTAAGGAGTGGCTCACGGCTCATCACTGGAGGGCGGGGGACGCAGCCTGAACTATGAGTGGGCTGGTGAGATGGTGCAAATACCTCAGAGCCCTCACTGAAGTCCTCAGTGCCCGTGGAAGAGGAGGCCTGCCGAGGGAGTTTGGTCTCGTAAGCCATGACGCTCCACCTGCACACACAAAGGCAGCTCTCAGCAGGTCGGCCCAGCCCCCTGGCAAGGCTGACAACCTCACTTCATCTGTAGGCCCTTTATCTCTACTCTGCGGCCCATAATTTGGCTCCTCACTGAGCTGAGAACAAACATCACAACCAGGAAGGCATGCAACCCCCCCGAAGCAGGGGAAAGGGATCCCACGAAGGAACATCTGCTTCTGCAAGACGGGTTCCCCCTCTGCGGAGCGTGAGCACCCCCAGCCAGCAGCCAGCTCCCCGGGTGTGAGCATTTCATGGGCACCAAGGCACGTACACCTCCCTTAAAGAGAGAAGACATGGCAGGGGCGGCCAGAGTGTGCTCAAAATCACACCGCCAATCACAACTGCGGGACCCTTCCCGAGACCATGAAGCATTTGCAATGAAACCAATTTACCACAGGCATGTGGTTAGTGGGATTTCCTACATCTAGCTCAGAACTAAAAGTAGCTCACTCGAAAAGGATGCCAAAGTATTTTTAAACCTACCCAGGACAATTACCCAGAACTTAGATTCTTCTGGGAACAGAATGTGGGGAAATGGGATCACTCAGCCTTATGGTAAGGACGACTCTGCTGATAGGTGTCCGCAGGGGGCAGAGAGCCGCCCTCTCCAACACCCCCAAGGCCTCACCCCATCCCGACCACTCAAGGGCATGGTTCCTCACCTCTTCTGGTTGTTTTTACCTTCTGCATAATCTGATGAAAAGTTAGAAACTACCAGAAAAAAAGAATTCCTGCTCAGGTCTAATTTGTTTTTTCCAACAAACTCTAGTTGAATTGACCAAATGAATTAACTCATCTCTCAACCACCCCCGCATGGCAGCCAGAATTATTTTTCTTTTCCTGATAAGGAATCTAAGACACAGTGAGACTGAGTAAAATGCTCAAGTTCATGCAACTCTCAGTGACAGGGCAGGGATTTATATCCCAGATCAGTTTGACTCTTTCATGTTTCTTATTGAAGTGTAATTCACATCCAGTGTTTATGTTAGTTTCAGGCATACAACACACTGATTCAATAATTCTCATTCAGGTCCAATTTCTACAAACAGTTGCACGGGACCTATGTTCTCCGGGGAGTCCAGGCTGAGAACACCTGGTCAAGGTGACCTGCCTTGTGTGGCACGAGAACGCCCTCCACTCACCGGTCCAGCATCTTGGTACTGGCTCGTTCCAGCTTTTCCAAGATCTGTGGGAGCTGGGTGTCATCGTCACAGGCTGAGCCCCAGCCTAACACTCGAGCCAGGTCGTTCCCTGTGCCGAGGGGCAGCACTCCCAGCTGACACTGGCAGGACACAGAGGGGAAGACACGGCATTAAACACCCTCCTTGTTACCTACAACGGTGGCTAAGTTCAGCGAGAGGTCTCCTCTAAGACGATTTGGCTCTCATAGTCTAGGCAGAACCCACTAGACAAGACAGAGCGTCTTCTAATCCAAGAGAAGATTACAGAACCATCTGACCCACCCTCTCCCATGCCCATTTCTCATCTTGACACTTAATCCTCTACGTCCTCTCTGATGTAGATTTTCAAAATCCCCTTCCTTCCCATTTTCACTGCTACGACCACAATCCTGTCCCTTCCTGTGAGTATCTGTGAACTCCTATCGAGAATCATTCTGAGCCCCCCACTCCCCCCGCCGTTTCTCCATCCACTATGTCTTACTCACTAATGCCAGAACCATCTTCCAAAAACATTACTAGTGTCGTTTCACTCCTGGCTTTTAAGTCCTATCAAAAACAGGAGCCAGGACATCCACAGTCTGGTCACCAAACCTGAGCATGCCCCCGCGCTCAGCCCACAGCCTTCCACCTGACCCTCCCCAGAGTGACGGTGTGCACTGCTCAGGCCCGGCCCTCCAGCTGGAACTCTCATCGGGCCAGTTCGGGCTCAGGGAGCTCCCTAGATGCTGGATGCCCAAGAACTCGGCCTCCAGCTCCACATGCAGCGTGTGGAAGCAGTCGGTCCTTCACAAGGACTAGGAAGCCCAGCACACCACGCAGAGAGGATTGGGTGCCAGAGCCTTAAAGAAAAGGAGCAGGCAGCGCACTGAAGACACAGTGGTGTTCCAGGTGGAGAGGTGAACCACCTGCCAAGTCAGGAGAGAGGAAGTCAAAGAAGCAGAGATGAAGAAGGAGCCATATCGGGGGCTCCGATAAACTATGTTAGAGTCTGGACTTTATCCTAAAACCAAGGAGCCACCAAAGAACACTCAGCAGAGCAGGTGAGTGAGCAAAACTGTCCGTGGGGAAGACCCCCCGGTGAGCAGTGGACGGACAGAGGCCCGGACGGACAGAGGCCCAGGGTCAGCTGAGGTGTACTCAGCAGCACTCAGTGTGTTGACACACCGTGTCGACACTCCGGGGTGGCAGTTAACTCCAGTTATTAACTAGAAATGAGGGAGGGTGAGGGAAGAATCCAGAACGACTCAGATTTCTGGCTTGGATGTCTGGTGAACAATATTTTCAGACTCCAAGGAAAGAAATGCACGGTGAGTGGGGCTGAGCGGTGGGCTCAGTGCTAAAAATGCCAGGCTTGAGGCACTATGAGGCAGGTAGGCAGGCTGGAGGGCAGCCAGGAAAAAGAGAAACAGAGAGAGGGTGAGGGTGGGGTCTCAGGGAAGCTAGGCAAGTGAGGAAGTGACCAGGACCAAGTGCCACAGAGAAGCCAAAGGAGATGGATGCTCACTGAACTCAGCTGAATGGATGTAAACAAATGACTGGCCTCCCTGGCTTCCTGACTAGTGATAATCCTGGACCCACGTGTACTAGTCCACCTTCACCACTAGGGGGCAGTACGTGCCTGAGCTGAGCAGTTCACCTGCATAGGCCGGGTTCAGGTGGGCCGCCTCTCAACATTATCCGCGAGTCCAGGGCTAACCACAGACAACAAAAGTCCATCCACCTAGTAAAACCACCAACACTAAGAGTCGGGAGAGAAGGCTAAGTCTCTGAAAAATATGCTCAAGTCAGGTCGAAGATTTGAAAAACGTATGTTGAAAGCAAATGACAAACTAGGAAAAATATGACCAACAAGGAATTTATATCCCTAATATAACAATAATCCTTAGACATCAAATGTTTTAAAAAGGTAAATGCCCTGGGGCGCCTGGGTGGCTCAGCTGGTTAAGCGACTGCCTTCGGCTCAGGTCATGATCCTGGAGTCCCTGGATTGAGTCCCACATCGGGCTCCCTGCTCGGCAGGGAGTCTGCTTCTC